CAGCGGCAGTGTGGGAGTAGCCTCTCAAAGTGAGGGGGGCTCCTTGTGCGCAGTAAGCAATGAGTTACCATTATTTACTCCTACCAGGGTGGGAGCAACCTCTCAAAGTGAGGGTTACCATAATTTACTCCTCCCAGATGCTTTGTCGGAAGCAATTAAAGCCTTAACAGGGTGTTTGGTTGGAGGGATTTTAAATTCACTTCCCACTTAATTCCCATGTAATTCCAAATGCCATTAAATTCCGTAGTTTGGTTGGAGGAAATTCCAATTCTATGGAATTGCAATTTCCCCCATTTTCATGGAATTAAAATCCCATGTCTCCCCCTGGGATTTTAATTCCTGGGAAAAAAAATAGTGATGAGTCAAAATTACCCCTACCTTTTTTAACTTAAAATTAATGTCTAACAATAATAATGAACATTTTTTACTTTATACTACTTATTCCCTTTCAATTCCCATGTATACCAAACATTGGAATTGAAATTCCCAGTAATTCTATTCCTGTCAACCAAACACTGGAATTTAAATTCTCACTTTATTCCCAGTAATTCAACTCCCATGGAATTACAATTCCTTTCCCACATAATTCCCCCCCCCCCCCCCCCCCTCCAACCAAACGCCCTGTAAATGCTAGTTGAGTTACCATAATTTACTCCTCCCAGATGCTTTGTCGGGCCGGGGTATAGGGGGCATTTTGAAAAGAATAAATGAAGCAATTAAAGCCTTAAATGGTACTTAATCATTCCCTAATTCCTTTGTGACGAGTAGTTATGTTGTGCATCCGTATGCACCATGCATGGTGCATACGGATGCAAAAACGACGTCGTTTTATTACAAACGCGCGTCTCCCCTTTTAAAAAAAATTCAGGTTCGATTCCCAGCAACAACATTCATTCTAGAATTTTAATTCATAGATTATAGAATTATAGTTCATTAATTCTGGAATTATAGTTCATAGATTCTGGAATTATAGTTTATCGATTCTGGAATTGTAGTTCATCGATTCTGAAATTTTAGTTCATAGATTCTGGAATTTTAGTTCATTCATTCTGGAACTTTTAGTTCATAGATTAGATTATGTAATTATAGTTCATCGATTATGGAATTATAGTTCATCGATTCTGAAATTTTAGTTCATATGTTGTTGCTGGGAATCGAACCTATTTTTTTTAAGGGGAGACGCGCGTTTTTAACAAAACGACGTCGTTTTTGCATCCGTATGCACCATGCATGGTGCATACGGATGCACAGCATAATTTGCCCTTTGTGACGGATCATTACTCTAAATGGCCTTAATTGCATCATCGTTGTCATATCGCCAACAATGATTTACTCTTCCCAGATGCTCTGTTGGGTCGGGGTGTGAGGGCCTTTTGAAAAGAATAAATGAAGCAATTAAAGCCTTAAATGCTACTTAATCATTCCGTAATTCCTTTGTGACAGATCATTTCTCTAAACGGCCGATCTTATCATTGCCATTAACTTCACCTTAATTGCATCATCATTGTCCTATCGCCGGGTACTTAGATCATTTTTCCCCGTAAGACTGGTTCCTACACTCACACTACTTCTTTTTCGACTGACAAACTCACACTTTTCTCCTTTCTCAAACGATTGGATCCTTTAACCTTTCACCCTTCTGCGCCACTGGTCACTTCACCATCATATCATCTTCTGCTCTGCCTGCTTCCTAGATATAAAGCCAACAATTCATATTCCAAAATTAATGGCCCTCACCCTTGTCCGAGAAAGTAAATCAACGCTTTTAGCCCAAGACTAATTAAGATTCTCCCTCATTAAAGATTTAAACTCAGGTATTTGTTGGGTTACTACATCTACACTCACTTTTGTGATTATTGAGCTATGCACCGAACACTAGTACAAAACAGTTCATTCGCGTCTATTGTAGGCAGCAATAGACGTCTGTTTAACAACAAGGCGGCCTATGAACAAGACGCTATTGTCAGTACTTCAGGCGTCGGTTGTTCACAGTTGCCTAATGTTCAAACTAATATTCTTTTGCCTTGGCAATTTTTTAAAGTTATTCTCGGTTAAATTTTCCTAATTCAATCATTTAAATTGGGAAGGAGGCATAAATAAAAACATTAAAAAATGAAATGAAAACAATGTACTTCAATCTGAAAGCTTCATCCAATTCCTTGCAAATCCCAAAATCCAAAAGAACTGCATTTACAGAAGTTACTGCTAAAAAAATACCGGAGGGTATTTCTAAATTGTTCATTGATCGATCAGGGAGCAAAGTGAAGATATAAGACTACCCACAAAAACATATCTGGAGAGAAACCATTCATTGCTTCCGGAGAAACTAGCACATTCAAGGTAAAAACATATGAATTACTTGTGGCAGGATGTGTGAGATTGAAAAACTATAGTTGTAAACTTGTAACCACATTCAAGGTAAAAATAAAATAAAACGGAAGTAAACATAAACTGATAAACAAACATGAATAATCAAATGATCAGGTCCACCTACTTAAGGTTGTTCATATATCATTCGGGTTTGGGGCAGTGAAAGGATGATACAAATCTACAAGTGATTTTGTTGTTTTCATTGAAACCTCGGTTATAACTTTGTATTATGTTTATATTGAGAATTTAGTCATTATTTTTTGTTTGGGAAGAACTAGTCGATTATATTTTGTCATTTTGGGTTGTGGAATTATTGTATATATATTCAAGTGTTACTATAAAGATTATGAGAGATATGTATTGGTTGGGCTTCGTATTGTTACAGGTCTTCACGTACTGATACAGTCGGGTCATGTCCTAAAAGTGGAGCGTGACAACAATGCGCGCCCCAGTGCACGATATAAATTTTCCACTATAGTTTGTTGGACCTCCATTTTTCTTGAGCCCTAATTAATTATTGTTATTATTATATATTTATATTTATATATATAATATAGAGAAGTGTGGCGGCAGAATGTAAAGGAAACCATGTTCTTCTTTGGTTTCATCTGTTATTTATATATGTAATGTTATTAGAGATTAGGAAACAAATAAAGTTGGGATTGGCAGCAGTAATAAGGAGAGTAATTTCCTTTGTTTGTTGGGTCGGCTAAGGAGAAAAGGAAATCAATTTCCTTTACTTTTGCATTCATTCAGTAATATATATTCATTCAGTTTGTGATTTTCATTGTCTGAGATTTTTCCCAACAATAGTAGTGTTAAATCAACCGTAGAGAAATTATGGATTCCGATCATTATGCCATTTTAGGCTTACCCTCCGGCGAAGAAGGAGCCCGACTTTCTGATAAAGAGATAGCTAAAGCTTACCGTCGAAAAGCTTTGGAGTTACATCCAGACAAAAGACCTGACGATCCAAATGCAAAAATATACTTCCAAAAGCTGAAGGCCTCATATGATATTCTTAAGGATGAGAAGGCTAGAAAACAGTATGACGATCTGCTCCTGGCGAGGGCCGCAGAAATTCGCGCGAAACATAAGAGAAAACAGGAAGAGGAATTAGCTTCCATGTATGTTAATCTTTTTTTTTTCTTTTTTTTCTTTTTTCTTTTTTTTAATTTCAGATTCGTTATAGTTATAGGAGTATATGTTCATAATTTTATTACTATATGTTCATAATGTCAGAGCTCTATGTTCATAATTCAATAACTGTACATTCATACTTCCATAACTGTATATTCATAATTTCGTAACTGTACATTCATAATTCAATAACTGTAACTTCATAATTTTCGAAGCTCTATGTTCACAATTTTAGAACTCTATGTTCATAATTTTATCACTATATGTTCATAATGTCAGAGCTCTATGTTCATAATTCCATAACTGTATATTCATAATTGCATAACTGTACATTCATAATTGCATAACTATACATTCATACTTCCGTAACTGTACATTCATAATTCAATAACTGTAAAATCATAATTTTTGAAGCTCCATGTTCACAATTTTAGAGCTCTATGTTCATAATTTTATCACTATATGTTCATAATTGTAAGTTAGTAATGTCAGAATTCTGTGTTTATAATTTTATAACTTACATTCATAATGCCATAACTGTACATTCATAATGTCATAATTGTACATTCATAATGGCACAAACGAATAACGCCATTAACGCTGTTAACGGCGAGACAAAATCAAAAAAAAAAAAAATTAACTGGAATGACGCGTTTTTCTTAAAAACGACGTCGTTTTGGACCCGTGTCCACAATGCATTGTGGACACGGGTCCAGGGCATAATTTGCCCTAAAAGACGTGCCGCTGCTACTCTGCCTATGCCACCGCCGCGTGCCGCTGCTACTCCGCCTATGCCACCGCGTGCCGCTGCTACTTCTCCTATGCCACCGCGTGCCGCTGCTACTCCGCGTATGCCACCACCGCGTGCCAATGCTACTCCCCCTATGCCACCGCCGCGTGCCGCTACTCCGCCTATGCAAAAGATGGTACAACAGCAGCATAAGAGGGTTGCTGAGTGGCAAAAGATGGTAAACCAACAACATAAGAGGGCTGCTGAGTAGCAAAAGATGGTAAACAAGCAGCATATGAGGGCTACTGAGTGGCAAAAGATGGTAAACCAGCAGCATATAAGGGCTACTGAGTGGCAAAAGATAGTAAACCAGCAGCATATGAGGATTGCTGAGTGGCAAAAGATGATAAACCAACAGCATATGAGGGCTGCTCAGTGGCAAAATATAGTAAACCAGCAACATATGAGTGCTGCTGAGTGGCAAAATATGAAATATGGTAAATGAGGTTACATAATTCTTTTAGAAAGCCAAATTCAAATTTTTTTGGTTATCAAATTAAATTAATCAATTTAGTCGTGATTTTGATATACTAACCCTACGTTAGGAAAGAAATTAAAATTTATCATATAAGAAACTAGTTCAACACCCTACGATCACTTGCAACTAAAACCTTTCAATTGCAACATACTCTTGTCTTTAAGATTGAAATTTAAGTGAAAATCACAAAAATGAACGTGAAGGCATTTAAAGCTTTCACGAAGCAGATTAAAAATTTTGTTCTCCTGGTGTTTTTCTTTTCCCCCGTTTGTAGGGTGAAGCACGATAATGATGATCCCGGTAAGAGAAAGTACAAAAAATTGGAAAGTATATTATGTTTCCAAAACAATCTATAATGAGAATTGATTGTATTCCACATGATAATTGGCATTCAGTCCCTATAAACTACAAAACTGGCAATGTCATGAAGCCCAGCGTCCTTGTAACATTCAGCAATTCTCTCCAAATAGTCATCCCATTTACCATCAATAGAAGCTAAATCCAACAGGAATGCAGCTTCATCCAATGCAATCTACATCATATATATATATAAAGTGAGGGAAACATATTTGCCTTTCTTTTTGGGTTTTCCCTTATCTTTTTGCCTTATTTGTTAGATATTTTTGTGAGTACTGCAGGGAATTTCCTCCTATAGATGTTTGAAATTTATTTTGAAATTGACAATAGGACAAAATCAAAATTCTGGTAAAGGGGTTATAAACCTGAGCGGGATCTTTTCCTTTCTTTAGATCTTCTTGTCTACCCTCCTGAGTCACTTTCTCTTTGACAAATTCAATCTGTTCATCTTCCCATTGAGCCATATTTGCCACTTTCTGCATAGAATTCAATCAAAAAATTGTAGAATTATCAGACAGAGAGCATGCTAAGAAGACTATATTCATTACTCACTCAGGAGGCAGACCTGGTATTCACAACCCAAAGTCCACCATGGTGATTTTAAAGCACCCCTAGCTGCATCTTTAGCTTCCACATTACGCCCAACCCTATATAAATGAAATGGGGATAATATACAAAATGTTGGAAATTGTTGGTCAGCAGAACAGAAATCTTGAGAAAAGCAAATGATTAGATATAATGACCTCAACAAAACTTCCGCATTGAATACAAAAGGCCTGCCAAAACCAGGAAAATGTTCCTTCCTAGTGTAGAATTCACCGGTCACTAGAGCTGAAATCTTCCATCACCATGCATACATCACCAACAATGTCATAAAATCTGTATTGCATGGAAAGTAATTCAAATATATCTTACGTCATCCCCCTTGTCAAAATGCTGCTTAATTTTCTGCTCTATTACATCTGGAAACAAGCCAACCTATAAAGCACAAAATTTTCAATGAGCAGGATACTTAGAAGAGTCAGACTGTATGAAACCACAGCCTTCAACTACCTTCTTCAAAAGATAGATATCTAAGCTTGAAACTTGAGACGCAGCAAAATCACCCTTTTTATAAAGTTTCTCTCCAGCACCAGCTGAAGCATGAAACAAGGCATCACTCTTTTCTGGAGAACTAGCATCTTCTTCCACCAAAATTCTGTGAATGTATTGATCTACCTATGGTTCGATTAAATGGTAAGTGAAAATAAGTGTCATTTCTTGCAGAAAAAACCTTTGAGCAAAGTCTTGTGTGCATCACATACTCAAATTAGCTTACATTCTTGGCTAAAAGCCAAACTCCATACTTCCGAACCTCCACTACCGGCATCTCCATCCTGTGGACATCACAATAATTCTTTAAAAAATAATAAGAACCAGCCAAATCATGTCAAAAGGTTTTCAGCAGTTTGGCACATCACATTACCCAGGTGGAGCAGTAGGCCATCGCAGTAATGCAGTTACAGTACCTAATGTAAAAAACAATTGCCATAAATACAGATATCAGAGGCTTTGATTTTACACAATGGTTGTGCACTCATGCCAGACCTGAGCTCTTTTTGGATAGAGGAATAGCGAGAGGAATCAATCCCTGCTTGGTACCAGGAGAAATTATCTGCTCACCTGTCAAGTGAAGCAACACCCTGATCTTAAATCTTAATACTGCCAACAAAAAAAAGAATGGCAGATCCAAGCAGTCTCAAAGGAAATGGCTAAGGTCTTGACCAATGTCTCACCTTTCATCTGAAGCATGTTAAGAAGACCATTCAAATGCTCTGGAGGTTGAGTTGCAGCGACATCTTTGATGAAAGATACATGATCTGTGTTCCAGCACTAAAACCATTTAATTCAACATCCACATTTCACTAGACCCTAGTCACAGCTACAGGAGTAAGCAAAGACAGATTTTTAGTTCTTTCTTTCCCCCCCTTTAATCTCACCAGTCACCACCAAATATTCACATTTCACTGTCTGCTCTGGACTCTGGTGCCCAGTATCCACAAAATTAAATTAATTGCACGCCTGGCAAGAAAATACCTTTGTACACCAACATAGATGTGTGTGCGTGTTTATGCATCTATTTAATAACATCAGAGCTAACAGAATTCTGTGGAATCCCTAATCCCTAATCTCTAAGTATAGCAAGATTAATTTGATGCCAAAATTTCAGAACAAAAGCGGGAAACTTTTGAACTATTAAATGCAGATCATTCCAATGTAACAAGCAAAAATTTTGGAATGCCACTATATATATACACACCACACACAAACATATGCATATATGCATCTGTAAGAACTGAAATGGAAAAGGAATGCTACAGAAATGAGAACCGAGACATAATGTACCCAACAAAAAAAAAAGTATTATTTATAGTATTAGCGACTGAGAAGTTTCAGTACCAGGAGAAGAAGAGTAGCATCTGAATGCAGTTCTGCAGCGACTATAAAGAGTAGCGGGAAAGCCGGCGGCGCGTGAACCTCCGATCACCGCTCCGCCGCACGTTTTCATATCTATAAGTTATGTTGTGAAGATAGGAACTGCACACAGCGTCACAGCATAGACTCGTTATGATTTGATGATTTCTCTCTCAATGATTTATGAATAACATATCATGGGCCGGGCTGTATTCGAATTCGAAATGGGCCTCAATTTTGTTAAGCGTGCTTTATAATTTTATTTTCTTTTCTTTTTTAGATGAAAATCTTCGAGTTTACAGATACATAATTTACATACTAAATGTTCATAATTTATCTTTGAGAAAATTTTAATTTTGGCCATATGATTATAGGGTCTTTGTTAATTTCAGCACCTGACTTTTAAATGTGTCAATTTAGTATCTTGACTATGTAACTTTTATCAATTTTGGTCACTCCGGTCAAAATTGCCGGTCAAATTTCGTCAAAAAATTTTAACAGTTAAAATAATGAGGGTATTTTAGTCATTTCACATCTCTTCCTTCTTCTCCGACGAATTCATTTTTTCCGGCGAATCTGTCGCAGCAGCACACCTTCCAAAGCAGACTTAAACTCATTCGTCAAAGCCGTCGCCAGCGATTTATTAGGGTTCATATGGCCAAAATTTCGGTTGAAAACATATGGCCGTTTGTGTAAGGGGAGCTTTTCTTTTTGGATAATGTTGAAAGCATCGCATCGCACCTCATCCTCGGATTCGCTCGAAAAGATGAATTCGCCGGAGAAAAATGAAAGAGATATGAAATGACTAAAATATCCTAATTATTTTAACTGTTAAAATTTTCCGGCGAAATTTGGCCGACAATTTGATCGGAGTGACCAAAATTGATAAAAATTGCATAGTCAAGATACTAATTTGACACTTTTAAAAGTCAAGTGCTAAAATTAACAAAATCCCTATAGTCAGATGACCAAAATTGAAATTTTTTCTTTATCTTTTAAAAATTCACAATTTATGATAATCTTGTATTGTATTCGCAAATTCTCAAATTTTAAAAATATAGTTTATATTTTAAATGTTCACAATTATAATACTAAAAACATACAATTTAAGACTAGGATCTACCTAGACCCTGATCCATGGTATAACAATTGCATTTCACATGATATTTTTTATGTCGGGAGAAAAACTAGTTTTTTTAATATGAAGAAAATGTTAACATGATTGTTTATATGTAAAAACATTTACACAAAATTTTGAGATTAGTTTGTGCTTTATTTATGACTTTCTTTATAATATTTTACGCAATAAAAAAACCCACTCCCTCCCAATCTCTAGCAATTCCGACATGGAGATTGATGGTGTCGTGGGACTCAGGGTCTATTTATTGTGAAAGTCCTTCAATATCTCATGTAATAAAATATAGAATGTTCTATTTACCTGTGTGAAGATTGCTAGCATCTAAGTAGCGGGAGACACGTATATGGCTAGGAATAAAGGTAAGCTAGAACGGTATATTTGTTGAACATTTAAATATATGAAGAGTTAATCAACGATTTGGTCCCTCAATTATTGCCAAACTGTGAATGTAGTCCTCTAATTCCTTAATCATCGATTTAGTCTCTGAAAATAATTCTTTTTAGTCATTTTAGTCCCTCCGTCCGTTCTCCGGCAACACTTCGATTAGACCTCCGATTTACCAAGGTCAATTTTGTCATTTCATTTGTTTATTCACTTCGTACTTGCTTAACCCACACCGACGCTTTTGGAGGAGCTAACTCGCCGGTCGGGAGGGCCTCCGTCGCTTGTCAGGCTCACAGTCATCGACAATCACCACTTCACAAGTACACCATTTATAGTTTCTCCACCAGGCTATGACTTCTCCAAATACCTTCTTGGTTATGCAAAGAGGATTAACATCAACCTGCAGATCAACAAGCTTGAAAGTTTCCCACTTCAGAACCTAAATTCCCAGACCATAAACTCCTCCCCAGATGAGATCTTGATCATTTCTGCCCAGTTCAGGCTCCACAACCTGAGCCACCACTCCCCAGATGACAGGTCGGAGTTCTTGAGAGGGCTGAGGAGTTTGGGTCCAAAAGGCGTGGTTTTGAGCGAGAACAATGCAGATTGTAGCTACAGCCATTGCGGGGACTTCGCCAATGGATTCTCCAGGAGGGTGGAGTACTTGTGGATGGAAGGAGAAGCAGCAAAGACATTGACAAATGTGGGAGAAATGAATGAGTGTAAAGAGAAATGGTGCCAGAGAATGATGAGTGTTTGGTTTATAGGCCAAGCATTTGGAGAAGATGCAATCGACACAGCGCGAGCGTGGTTGTCGGAGTGTGGTTCCATGGAAGAGAAAGATGCCGACGGGCTAGTGAGAAGGAAAATATTGAGTAAGAAGAAGATATGGCTAGTGAGCCATGGCGACGGGCGGCGGCGGAGCGGCGCAGTGGATGCTTATCTGGTTCGGCACCGCCAACATCGCCGTGTGATCCAAGAAATCTTTGAGCTCCACAGTCGACTGTAAAATCGTTCTCAGATCGTAGGCGTGAGAGAATCCCAAGTTTCCGGCTCTCCTCACGGCGTAGATGTAGAATGTTATGCAGCCATTTCTGAACTTGAACCGCGCCATTTCGCAGCCGCTCAGCCCTTTAATCAGCTTCTTGTGCACCTCCCCGAGCGGAATCTCCGGTGGCCACTGGCGGTCCACGGCGGCCTTCATGGATTCCATCCCTACACTATATATGATGGAAGGAGAAGCAGCAAAGGCATTGACAAATGTGGGAGAAATGAATGAGTGTAAAGAGAAATGGTGCCAGAGAATGATGAGTGTTGGGTTTGTAGGCCAAGCATTTGGAGAAGATGCAATTGAGAAATGGTTGCCGGAGTGTGGTTCCATGGAAGAGAAAGATGCCGAACTCAAATGAAATGAAATGACAAAATTGACCCTGGTAAATCGGAGGTCTAATCGGAGTGTTGCCTGAAAACGGACGGAGGGACTAAAATGACTAAAAAGAATTATTTTCGGGGACTAAATCGATGATTAAGGAATTAGAGGACTACATTCACAGTTTGGCAATAATTGAGGGACCAAATCGTTGATTAACTCAATATATGAATGATTTATATTTTCTAAGTAATTATAATTATTATGACATTTGTTATTTGTTAATTGTTATATGAAAATATATTCATATCGTTATAAAATTTCTTACATTTTAACTATAAATAAAAGTAAAAAGAATTAACAGAGCGTTTGGTTGGGAGTAAGGAATTAGGGTGTTAAGGAATTGCAATTCGGTGGGAAAAAAATAAGGTGTGAATAAAGTAGGAATTCAAATTACATTGTTTGGTAGTGATGAATAGAATTATTGGGTAGGGAATGAAAGAAGTGATATAAAGACTAAAATGTCATTGTGTAATAATAATAGTAGTAATAATTAATGATACTTTTGTCATTTCATCCATTTTTTCTTTTCCCACAACCATGGAATTGCAATTCATAGGGGGGTGCCCATGAATTGCAATTCAGCAAAATGAGGGAATTCCCTCCAACCAAACGGCATAATTGTAGCTTCCACTGAACTGCAATTTAACTACAGCCAAATTACACTCAACCAAACAGGCCATAATTGTACCAAACACGCAAACACATTCTACAAACAACTAATGCAATCTCAACCAAAATCACTCATTTATTATTAATCACTAATTGAGAAATAAGATTTTTTATTTTAAAAATATTGCTTACTAAAATTAATGTTTATTTTGGAAACTTGGTCCACAAACAGCACAAAAACTGACGCGTTGGGTACAAATTCAAAATAATGAGTGGAGATGTAAGTTTCCCCCCAAATTCTCATCCCAAGCTTTGGCCTGCCCTTCACACTTAACAATATTATTAAATTAAATATTAAATATTATTATTTCGTCTCTTTTTCATCCCCCACTGTAATCTGTTCTACGTTGTTTTTTTTTTTCTTTTTTATTTTTCCCATAAAATAAAATAAAATAATAAAAACAATAATTACTTGCATCCTCGTCAGCACCAAACGGCCGCCAAGAAAAATTAAAACTACTAGTAAAATCTGTTCCTCCTATAGGCTTCTCCATCTATCTACTCCCAATCTAGGGTTTCATTTCCGCCCCGTCGCTTCAAATTTCCCTCCCTATCGTCCCGGGTTTTGTATGAATCCAATCTTCATTCGGAGCTCCATTGCCGGATCGAGCTTCACCTCGCGTCACCAGCTTCGCCACCGGCAATGTCGGCGCCCGATAATACTCCCTCCTCGTCCGAATCGGACCCTTCAAACGATCTTCAGGTATCGCGTTTAGCTAGCTCGATCTCAAAGTCTTTATCTTTTTTTGCGTCTGCATTCTCGATTTCCGTTGCCTTGCGATAATCCTATTGTTTACGTTTTTTTTTTTACTTTTTTATTGGGAAATTTTAGGCTTTTTTTCTTGTTGACTTCTGTAGTCTTGAGAGTTGGTACTTGGTAGGCAGCTGCATTGTATCACCAGGGAGCTATTGAGCTAACATATCTTTATTTTAAGCCTTGGGCTTAAAGTTTTCCCTTTTATTATCTGATCAACTGACAGAGATTATATGAGGTTCCTTACCTCCAGAAAATCAATTTAACTCGATAGCAGATACCATTCATTTCAAACCATTACCACTTAAAGTTTCTCTGGTTAGGGAATTTTATTGGTCCTCAAACATGTTTGCATAATGTGGGAACATCACGTCCATGGTTTTTTTTTTTTTTCATTGCAAAGTTGTAATATTTTGAGTAATAAATTATACTTTTGGTCCTTTATGACACATTTGGGCCTCAACTTGCAAAAAAAAATATTCACATTTAGTCCCAAATTGGTCCACTCGTGGTCTGAATTTGGACAGAAAACAGAATAATTTTGCAAGTTAGGTCCTAATGTGTCATGAGGGTTGAAAAGTGGAATTGTGCCATACTTGAAAGGACCAAAAGTGGAATTTATTTGAGTATTTGTTGCTAATTGAAACGAAAATTAAGCTTGAAATGCTTACAACATGTATTGAAATTGATATTTATTTTACACCAATGTGTTGAGTGAACAGCTTCAAATACTGAAAAGTGGTGATCCATTTATAGTTTACTTAAAAAATATATCAA